AAAAGCATCCTTGTCAGAATCAGAGGTAAACGGGGAGGCATTCAGTGTAATTGCTCGGTGCTGCCGTACACACTTGCACTTGTTCAAATGCACTCGTGGGAATGGTGTTTTCGCTTGAGTGAAAGAGTACAGAGTGTTCAGTTTGCCTCCTTGACTCTTAGTAGATCAGTAGGTTCATTCCTCACAAATCTGAAGTAAATTTATTTGCGGGACAGTAAGATTCTTAAGACTTTCTCTACAAGTGAATAGAGAGACCCCAAACAGTTTCCTTGTTCATGTTGAGCATTACTTTGGGTTTGATTTTGGGTACTGTAGCTAGAATTAGGTTAGTGTAATCTTGTCCGACAAGGCAAAGACAAGTCTCAAAACATTTTGACTGAAGAGTTATTGTAGGGTTGTATTTGAAGTGATGTTGTGCCCGGCCTCCTGTTTCCCACTCCTGAGGGATTTGTCCCAGTTGCGGTGCCTACTCGGTTGGCCACGACAACGAGGTGTTTGTGTCACAGGCACAAATCGACCGGTTTGTCATACCAAACCACTTCCTGGAAGCAAGGTGAGTACCGAAGATCATAGTTCCATGTTCAATATATCATTGTTTTTTTTCTTTAAGAAATCATTTGCTGTTTGATGTAGGAATATACTAGATTTTTTCCCCTCACAAATTTTTCTTGTCAGCTGGCAGTATAGCATACTGTATAGGAAACAAACAAAAAAAATGTAATACAATTTCAGGAAAATCTAAACATTATGGAAAAGGAAATGAAGTTGCACTACCAATGGGGAATATTGTTGCACTGCTTACAGGAATATAATCATGCTTTTAAGAATACTCTCATAATAGTAATAGAATACTTTCTCAAGGCTGAGTTTTGAGTGTAAATTTGTAAAACATGAGATTAAAAGTTATGACAATGAAGTCACAAAGAAGCTAGCCTCAAAGTAAACATTATAAAACAATTAGTAAAAGAATCTTAATGTACTAAACATTTTGATAAATGTGGACACGGTTTGACTTTATTTTTGTAAAAGGCCTATTATGAAATTATTCACAAAACATTATGACTTTATTCTTGAAATTGTAATTTTTGTTTTTATTTTGATGTCACACTAAAATGTCCTGCTGTACAGAAGTCTTTGATGCAGTGTTTTTTTTTTTCGGATCAATGTCAATTATACTATGTATATACAGACACATTACACTAATTGCTATGTAAAAACATTAAATGTAATTGAAGAACCGAGCGAAAAGATGGCAAGCAAGAATTCCCCTCCCCCTCTAACCTAATTACTCTAGCCTTCACTGGGCTGATTTCAGCTTCGAAACTTTTAACTAAATTGCTATTGATTCCAGAGTGGGAAAGCAAGCGTCTAGCTTTCCATTGCAGCGGTTGAAGTGGGTGCGACAGCTTGCCACTGATCAGGAGAAATCAGATTTCTCGGTGCCTGATGCACAGGCCTTTCGTTTGGGCTATTTGAAGGCCCCCACAGAGTTGATTCTAATTATGACCTGAGCCCAGCCGCTTCCCAGCAGTGATGAGGTCATGTGCAGACAAGGGGACCAAGATGCTGGTGGGCTCACTTGGTCTCAAGAGCACTTTCTCTCATATGCACTCACCTTGTCCTTGAGGGAGAAGGGAAAAGAGATTGTAACGATGCCATCTCGTCTGTCCTGGGTTCCAACTCTCTAGGGATCTGAGCGTGGAGACGCCATCCTTTTCAACTGACACGTTGGTAATTGCAACTCAAGGTCCTCCTGCTTGTTAATGGAGGAGGAGATAAGCCTGCCTCTCATTCATTGCTCTGAATAGGTGTATGGGAAACATCAACAGTTTCTTGAAATGAGGCTACCCAGCACTTCCCAACTGTCAACATTGTTGGCAGAGGCATCAGTCATTTGTTAAAAGGAAAGGTACCCTTGAACTGAACAGTACTTGTAGCACAATGTGTTTATCTGGCAACTTGTTATAACCATTAAGTTAAGCATATTGCTTGCATACTTTGAGTAAATAGTATTAAGTCTGTTTGGCCTTAAAGTACAAAGATGCAAAAATGTAAATAAAATTTATTGCAGCAAGCTACTTTTAAGGACTTAGTTACGTTTTCTCTCAAGGTCTAGGATTCTTTTATTGTGCATTGAGAAATATCCAGGCCCAGATGCCGTGTTTGCCATTTTAGCCTAGGGTAAGATTAAAACTACCGAAACATGTCTGAAGACTGTGATTCTTACATGCCCTTTTCATGCTCTGATTTATTTGAGTTAGCCTAATTATTTGATTTTAAAACACATTTCCATTTCAACACACAAAGAAACAAATTAATAGACTGTCCGAATTCATTGTCATTCATCAAAATGAGCATATCCAATGACTTCCCCTCTTGGCTAAAGTGGCGAGATATAATTTGCAACTTAAATGCGGAAATGTGTGAATAATTCCGTAGCTAAGCTCCCAGCCCAGGGTCTATGCATATCCACAGGGCTAGCTTGGCACAGCGTCAAGGGTGTACTAGATTATTTCATCAGGTCTCTGGAGCAATGTACGCCGGTGATAGATTTGAAGTTTTAAATAAAGTGAATTTAATTTGTAGCCAGTGGCAAATGTATTTGTATGTTGGTCCTCCACTCATTTTATTGGAATTGATTTTTTTTTTTTAATTGGGGGCATATTGGTACAGCTGTCATTGACTCAATGTTCCAATGCGTTGTTGAAACGCACAGTTAATTTGTTTGCTCTAGGGGCTAATCAATGCAAGGTAAATGATATACAGGGTTGTTTCGAAAAGTTCACAGCTGGAATCAGGTGTAGTAATGACTGAATAAACACATGCGCATAAAACCACACACTCAACAGTGTACCCTAAACACTTAATACGATTCCTTCCTACGCCAAGACCCTCAGTGCCAACAGACTCCAGACGGAGGCTTTATCTCCACCGTACTGCCTTAGGATTACTGCTCAAAATCCTGTCATTCTCTCATTAAAAAGGTGGTTAAGAGGATAACTGTCTGATTAGGAGGGAAGAGAATGGGACGCATAAACCTTCAACACCTCCAAAAGTCAGATTGTTTGATTCTTAAAAGAAATGCTGGGAAATGAGGAAGGATTAGTCTAATGAATTTGAGGGTATTTGGACATAGGCCATGTCCTAATGAAAGACTGTTTGGAAAACCCAGTGTATAATGTGAAGGAGATATAATGATTCTTTCTCCCTAGCTGCTTCTTAACAGCTTTTGACCATAAATGTCAGTGTTTTAAGGCAGTTACAGCCTCTGGGGCCTTCTGGACCACTGGATAACAGCTGTCACTCATTGATTTTTGCTAGACGACACTTAATACGATTCCTTCCTACGCCAAGACCCTCAGTGCCAACAGACTCCAGACAGAGGCTTTATCTCCACCGTACTGCCTTAGGATTACTGCTCAAAATCCTGTCATTCTCTCATTAAAAAGGTGGTTAAGAGGATAACTGTCTGATTAGGAGGGAAGAGATGGGACGCATAAACCTTCAACACCTCCAAAAGTCAGATTGTTTGATTCTTAAAAGAAATGCTGGGAAATGAGGAAGGATTAGTGTAATGAATTTGAGGGTATTTGGACATAGGCCATGTCCTAATGAAAGACAGTTTGGAAAACCCAGTGTAACGTGAAGGAGATATAACGATTCTTTCTCCCCAGCTGCCTCTTAACAGCTTTTGACAATAAATGTCAGTGTTTTAAGGCAGTTACGGCCTCTAGGGTCTTCTGGACCACTGGATAACGGCTGCCACTCATTGATTTTTGCTAGGCAGCCAGTGACTTACCACTCAGATTAATAATTAATTTGGCAGATATTGAAGCACACCCTTTTGGGGTGGGGTGGCGTTGAGTGGGCTGAACGCCCATACCTCCAGCTTTGCTCTAACCTGATTGAAACGGATTGTCCTGTGGTGCAATGATTTAACTAATTAAGTTTACATAGATTTTCTGGAAACTTCATAAAGAATCAGATAATGCTTTATAAAATTATTTTAAATAATTAATTTTCCTAGTTTGTGTGTTTGAAAAATATTTTTATTTGGTCTTAGTTCTTTACTGTCTAGACATAATTGAGCTTGCCTTTTGTCAGAAAACCAATAGGTTCACTCCTTTTCCCCAGCCCATTCATGCAGGGATTCACTTTCTTTGTTGCTTTGTCTATGGTCTGACATTTTTCAGTTGAATTCTAAACCTTTACCCATAATTTGAGCTGAATGCCTTGTTTTTAATGCAACTCTGCTAAGCTGATGAAATTCCCTGGGAAGGGCATTTATCAGTTTATTGTGGGATTTCACCTTTTGTTGTTGTAAGTCCAATCCTGTAGGCCAGTCAGAGAGATAAATGTTGGTTTTACAGTGAGCAAAGAAAGTCATGCAGTGTGCACATTTCCAGCAAAGTGAGCAGATTGGGGTAACATTCATATTTGACCTTCATTTAAATTCCCTTCCTGAGATAATCAAAGAGAGAGCCTTGCTGTGCTATTCATCTTGAAGCAACACGATCCGCCCCACTTCTTTTCCCAAACTGCATGGACACGTGCATAAGAAATGAGAGGGTTGTCACAGCTTGACACATGATTAGCAGCAACGTCACTTCTATGGCAAGTACACACACGAACAGACGTAAATTACTCTATGCAATTTATGGATTCGCTTCAAATGATACTGACATATCTAGACACATGGCCTAGTTCCCTCTTTGCTTTACCTATATATAATTCCCTGTCTCCCGTGTCCTTGACCTGCCCTCCTGAAATCCCCTTATCCTAGTTTTCCCTTTATTCTCTCACCATTTGTCAGCCTCCCACTCACCTTTCCTGCAACTCTGTCTTTGTCCTTCATCATCAGTAACTTCCACTGTTGTCCCATTACTTACCCGAGCGCTCTTGATCTGAACTCTCTTCACACTCTCTTTCAGTCATTAAGAATCTCTTCAAATGTTTTTTGTACCAGGGCTCATGCAAGTCTCATTTTTATTTTCCTGCAGTATGCCTCAGCTGGATGTCTGCTGTCCCTCCACCACAGCGAGAAGCCAGAGCATGAAGAAGTCTGTGAGTTCCGCCCGTACACCTGCCCATGCCCCGGGGCTTCCTGTAAATGGCAGGGCTCCCTGGAGGCCGTCATGCCACATCTCATGCATGCCCACAAATCCATTACCACCTTACAGGGCGAGGACATTGTCTTTCTGGCCACGGATATTAATCTACCGGGGGCTGTGGACTGGGTCATGATGCAGTCATGTTTCGGGCACCACTTCATGCTTGTTCTAGAGAAGCAGGAGAAATACGAGGGACACCAGCAGTTCTTTGCCATCGTGCTGCTCATTGGCACGCGAAAGCAAGCGGAGAACTTTGCCTACCGCCTCGAGTTGAACGGCAACCGTAGGCGGCTCACATGGGAGGCCACGCCACGCTCAATTCATGATGGCGTAGCAGCGGCCATCATGAACAGTGACTGTCTTGTATTTGATACCTCTATTGCCCACCTGTTTGCAGACAACGGCAACCTGGGTATCAACGTTACCATCTCTGTGTGCTGAGGTGGCAGTGTAAGGCTTTATCCAGTGACCCAAACCTAGGACAACCCCTGCTCCCTATCAGACTGCAGGTTCTGAAGGCAATGGCTGGGAGATGTATACATTTGTGTATATTTCTGTTCAAGAGTCATACGCTAAAATAGCTCACACTTTCCAGATTCACTAGTGGGTTAGTATGCTAGATGGATGGCAAGAGTCCTTCTCGAGATGAAGATGCACTGAGTGTGCAGGTGTTAGCTATCAGTTGAAGGCATTGGTGCAATTGAGAATTTCTTTTGCCCACCCCAAGGATACAAACACCTCAACTTTCTGATTACACCTTCGATAAAAGGTCAGGTGTGGATGACCACCATCGCAGAATCAAAATGCTAACTTAGGAAGAGTCTAGGCATGAAGGTGTAACATTTGCCTCAGAAGCTTATAAAACCTGTGTACAAAAACTGCACTGACTACTTTGGTTTTCGTCTTTGGATATTGAGTGAAACCATGGAAATAGTTCATGGCAATGTAAATGGTAATCCTCTGAATTTCACGGTTGTATATTGGTTTGATAAAACAATGCCCATGATGGAAATGCGGTGTACATGGTGGAAATAAAATACACTTGCAAAAATCACTACATAGCCACCATGTTTGTAAGGCAAGAATCTGACCTCTTCATTAAATTTTTTCCTTTCTTTAAAAAAAACAAACAAAAAAACATTTGCCATCAATGTTGCAAGACGTAAATAAGGACAATAATAAAGTTTGTTATTTTGGGGTCCTCTGTCAAAACTCATCCAGAGAGAATTGGTTTGTGATCAACACGGATATTGATCATAAGCTCCATAAAATGACAGAACTACAGCCAACCTTTTCAAATTTTGTTACCCATGATCTAATGCCACATATTCATAGATATATTTGTATATGATTCTTGATTTATTTATTTTTTAAAGGGATAGTTGACCTATAAATGATAAATCTGTTATTTAGTTACCCTCATGTTTTATAACACTTATTTGTGGAGCACCAACGGAGACCTTCGATAAAAGGTCAGGTGTGGATGACCACCATCGCAGAATCAAAATGCTAACTTAGGAAGAGTCTAGGCATGAAGGTGTAACATTTGCCTCAGAAGCTTATAAAACCTGTGTACAAAAACTGCACTGACTACTTTGGTTTTCGTCTTTGGATATTGAGTGAAACCATGGAAATAGTTCATGGCAATGTAAATGGTAAATTCACGGTTGTATATTGGTTTGATAAAACAATGCCCATGATGGAAATGCGGTGTACATGGTGGAAATAAAATACACTTGCAAAAATCACTACATAGCCACCATGTTTGTAAGGCAAGAATCTGACCTCTTCATTAAATTTTTTCCTTTCTTTAAAAAAAACAAACAAAAAAAACATTTGCCATCAATGTTGCAAGACGTAAATAAGGACAATAATAAAGTTTGTTATTTTGGGGTCCTCTGTCAAAACTCATCCAGAGGAGAGAATTGGTTTGTGATCAACACGGATATTGATCATAAGCTCCATAAAATGACAGAACTACAGCCAACCTTTTCAAATTTTGTTACCCATGATCTAATGCCACATATTCATAGATATATTTGTATATGATTCTTGATTTATTTATTTTTTAAAGGGATAGTTGACCTATAAATGATAAATCTATTATTTAGTTACCCTCATGTTTTATAACACTTATTTGTGGAGCACCAACGGAGAAGTTTAGTAGAATATCTCAGCTGTTCTCTTTCAGTACAATGTACGTGGATGGGACTAGGGCTTGTCAAGCTACAAAAAAAGCACCATAAACGCAGACCATACAACCTGTGTTCTGTATTGCAAGTTTTCTGAAGCCATATGATAGCTTTGTTTAAAGTAGAGACTGAATTTTTTTTTTACTGAAAATCTTTAATTGTATGAAAAAGAACAGCTCACACATTTTGCTAGATGACTCCTTTACAGGTGTCGATAACACAAGGGTGAGGGAATGATGATAGAATTTTTATTTTTGAGTGAACTATTTATTTTATATAGGTGTTTCTCCTTTGCTTTTTAGTGTACTTGTCAACAGTGACTGTATGTAAAAGATTTAGCCTGCGCACAATGTTATTTTCTTGTTGATAAAGTGTCTGCATTTAATTGGTTTTGTTGTCTTTGTACTTTTTCTTTCTTTATATTTGAGGTTATCTTTCAGATTAAGAAAAACTTTTGTAAAAATATAAACAATTTTAGTTTTGTTGATATTTGTTGTTACTGTTACGTCTCTTCAACATTGTTTAGTCTAGCTTTGTTTACTCTAGTTCTTTTAAACCCAGTAAGATCTAAGCAATCTCACTCTCCTCTTCGGTCAATGAACCCACAATGCCTTACTTGTATACAAACTCAGTCTTTTAGAATCTGCAGCCTTCTAGGACTCCGTGTCAAGTTCAGGTCACTATCCTCCAAACCTCCAGTGTCTTGAAAGAGACTTAAATTTTACAAAGTGGCATTATGAGTGGGAAGGACATGGCACGTCATTCTACCTTGCCCCCAAAACCTGCTGCAGTAACCGTTTCACTTACACTGTTCAAGTACGGAACCCAGCCTCTTTTCAAATACCTCTGATGACTTTGAAGATGTCTGCAAGAAGCGCATCGATATCCCTGAATGTGGGTGGTTCTGTGAAGAGATCTCAAGTTTGATGCACAACTGACACCCTCAGCTCTTCTTTATCTGTCTGCTATTTCACTCCTTCTGAAAAATAATTTAAAAATGTAAATTAAATGTTTTATAAATGTGGAGCAAATGCACTGTTTCGTTTATTAATTGTTACATTTAGAGACCCATAGGAAAAGGTGAAAAAGTGCTCATGTGGTCAGTGTCTCCACTCCTCAAACATGTGGACAGACTCCTGTCCCCGATGCTTGTTCTCTCTACATGCAGTCGTCATGGCAACTAAATATGCAAATGAGAAATCTAGTTAATTCATTCCTAGAAGAAAATTCTTGTATATTTAAAAAAAAAAATCTTGATTAGTCTCAAATCCCTTTTTGACATTTTTTTCTAGATGCTTTCAAAATGAGTGAATCTCTTAAGGTATTTACAGGACATGGACCAATCCTCTAAAAGTTAAAAATAAAAAAAATAAAAATTATGCAGTTGATCCAAATGGATGGTGACTGTAGAACCTCTATCATTTTAAGTTCTGGATAAAAATATCAAATGCATGTTGAACAGGACAGAGTACCTGCATGCAGATCACAAGCCCTGAAGGAAGCTCTAAGCTTCCAGGTCTATGTGGCATGACTCCTACGGCACTGGGCTGAGAACGCAAAGCTTTGTGCAATAAAAAATAACAATTTAGTCACATAAAAACTAACCATGTTCAATTTGCACATTTTGCCTAATCTGTTTTGATTTCCAAATAATACACTGATATATTCTGATGTCTTAATTCTGATATGACCATCCACCAGTTGTAGTTTGTTGCAGATTGATGCATCTCCACAGAGACAAGACATACCATGTCAAAAGAGACCACCAGCCATCTGTCTCTCTCCCACGGCATTTTAGACTCCCCTATACAGAAGTGAACACAAAACTGAATAAATACATTTTAATGAAGTGAGCAGGTGGTTTCCTGAGCTGTGTGCCATGCCTCGCAATCAAGCCATCACGCTCAATATTGAGCACCACATCCTAATGAACTTGCGAATAAACAAGTCTTCGTCAAGGACTAGAATACTTAACGTTCATGGTAATGAAATGAGATGTTTCCTGTGCCAACCCAGTGATACAAATACTAGCACATGTGAGTTTACAGGTCTATCAATATGAAAAACCCTAACCATAGTTATTTCAAATGCATTATTCGAAGAAAAAGTATTTTAAATAGAAGGTTGAAGTCACAATGAAACATAAATAGTGACATCTTTTCTTCCGTTTTGTGATGTACACCTGAGTGAAACGGATTATCAAAATAGAAAAAAATGTAGGGTGGTTCAACCCATTGGCTGTTGATTAAATGTAGGCAGATCTGCTGAATGTGAGCTTGTGGTGCATTCCAGTGCTACTGGGAAGTTCATATTTACAAGTTGGGAAGTCGTAATTATGATGTTGGGTGCATTCAAATAATTTGGTCGGAGCAAGATGGCGATGTATCTTTTCATTTCATTAATTAGGGGGCGTTTACGAAACTGAACACAATTTCAAGATCATTTCTTATTTATAGATTTCACATTTGGAAGAGAGGCACACACATTTTTTTGTGCGTACGTTCTTTTCTCTGAATCCCACGTACGCACATTTGACATATTAGTTCAAAAGTAGGACAGTTTCTTCAGAACATATTATAAATGAGGCCCCTGAATTTCCCACTTGTAATTACGACTTGACTTGTTCATGTGCGTTTAAGTCATGTGCGTTCCAAGTCGTAAATACAATATTTCCGAAAAGACTAATGCACCGTCGCAATAGATTGTAAAAAAAAAAAAAAGGGGCAGGGTTAAGGTAGACAAAATGAATAAATTCATCTGTCTGAAGATCGAATTAAGAATTGTGAGTTAAAAAAAAATGTTTAGTTGTTCACAAAAACATCAACGACGTGCATTTAGAAAATAGACAGGATGAATTTATTACATGCTGACTTTAAACTAAATTTTGTAAACAAAACCTGGAGCATACACTACCCACCTCACAGAAATCACAACCATTTCAATATCCAATACTGCAACATATTTGACATGATTTCTCACCAAATTCTACTTCTTTTTTTATGTTTTTAGATGCTATTGTAATTTATTTGCCATACTGAATGGCGTTGCTGCAGAAAGCTAATGTTTTGCTTTTGATCTGTTCCTTTAACTATTACATTGAGAAAGTAATGAAAGAATTGATATGATCATTCTTATGGCAAATATTGACATGATTTAGTATGGAAAATACTGTGACAGTGGCTAAAATGTCAATAAGACCGCTTACGACTACAGAAGATGGCTACATCCAAAGACCTGATGACCTACTGTATGGCAGCTGTTTGTATTTTTAGATGGAGTTCCACTGAGAACCAGCTTAAACATCTTTTTATCTCTAGTTTTTAATAGCTTATTCAAAACGGGGTTGGTGGTTGATGTGGTCTGGCATGTGAGCATTGCAAGGAGGGACATCACACAGGGGTGACCCAACAGCATACACTATTAAAGTTTAGTGCAAATAGATATTTAACCTTTAACGTTGAGTATTGGCTTAAACGTTTAGTGCCTGTGACAGAACAAGACTAATGGAGTCACATCTGCAGTACTCCTGATTGGCCAATTATGGATAGTTCGTATAGGTGACCGTTCATGCATTGAACAGCTCATAGTAACTCAAGGTTATAACAGATTAACTTAAAGCTGCAGTCCGTAATGTTTTTGTTTAAAAATGATCCAAAATCAATTTGAGCAAGTACATAACCAGCCAGTGTTCAAAACTATCACCTTACTTTAGCTCGATTCACAACGGTAAGCTTGTAATAAAGTTTTCTTGTAATAAAGAGTGGTGCAGGTAGGTTTTCGAGGAAAATTCGAGCATGGCGCTGCGTCAATTACGTCACGTCTGTAAACATAAAGAAGTTGTCCGGCTAGTATGCTATAATCGCACGTGAGGATGCTGCAGGTGACGGATCGTTTATAGCCTTTTCTCACAGCAGCTGGAATAAATGGAGGCTTGAATTAGAAAAAGTATAACAATAATAATAATTGGCATTGGTTTGGTGTGATATGAGCTAACCGATCGTTAGATTTAATCACCATTGATAGTGCAGTTTATTGTAATGCTTTTTTCCTCAGTTGATCAGAACAAAAGTGGCAGTTGTTACTTGTTCAGATGACATTCTCTTATTTGGGTCATACTTTCAAGATGTAGAATCTATGAATACAAAGCGCAGTATCCACACCGGTGTGGTGACTGACAGCCACACATTAGATTCACCCACGTTGGAGCCGTGCCAGTGCACAACCCACACAAGGAAAATAATTCTGCAAATAGCTGCAATTGCAGGTTTTCAAACAGAGATGGCGACAAAGAGGCAAAACTTACGGACTGCAGCTTTAAAGGTGATTCACTTCATTTACTGCATTAAAAGCTGTGCTAACTGTGTAATGTTTTGCTTATTTTGGACATGAAAAAAATAGTGTGAAGTTTCTTTTGCTATTTTTTTTATCAGCCTAGATAAATTTACAGCAACAGACCAAATTTCCAATAATCACACCATAGACAGGATGAATTTATTACATGCTGACTTTAAACTAAATTTTGTAAACAAAACCTGGAGCATACACTACCCACCTCACAGAAATCACAACCATTTCAATATCCAATACTGCAACATATTTGACATGATTTCTCACCAAATTCTACTTCTTTTTTTATGTTTTTAGATGCTATTGTAATTTATTTGCCATACTGAATGGCGTTGCTGCAGAAAGCTAATGTTTTGCTTTTGATCTGTTCCTTTAACTATTACATTGAGAAAGTAATGAAAGAATTGATATGATCATTCTTATGGCAAATATTGACATGATTTAGTATGGAAAATACTGTGACAGTGGCTAAAATGTCAATAAGACCGCTTACGACTACAGAAGATGGCTACATCCAAAGACCTGATGACCTACTGTATGGCAGCTGTTTGTATTTTTAGATGGAGTTCCACTGAGAACCAGCTTAAACATCTTTTTATCTCTAGTTTTTAATAGCTTATTCAAAACGGGGTTGGTGGTTGATGTGGTCTGGCATGTGAGCATTGCAAGGAGGGACATCACACAGGGGTGACCCAACAGCATACACTATTAAAGTTTAGTGCAAATAGATATTTAACCTTTAACGTTGAGTATTGGCTTAAACGTTTAGTGCCTGTGACAGAACAAGACTAATGGAGTCACATCTGCAGTACTCCTGATTGGCCAATTATGGATAGTTCGTATAGGTGACCGTTCATGCATTGAACAGCTCATAGTAACTCAAGGTTATAACAGATTAACTTAAAGCTGCAGTCCGTAATGTTTTTGTTTAAAAATGATCCAAAATCAATTTGAGCAAGTACATAACCAGCCAGTGTTCAAAACTATCACCTTACTTTAGCTCGATTCACAACGGTAAGCTTGTAATAAAGTTTTCTTGTAATAAAGAGTGGTGCAGGTAGGTTTTCGAGGAAAATTCGAGCATGGCGCTGCGTCAATTACGTCACGTCTGTAAACATAAAGAAGTTGTCCGGCTAGTATGCTATAATCGCACGTGAGGATGCTGCAGGTGACGGATCGTTTATAGCCTTTTCTCACAGCAGCTGGAATAAATGGAGGCTTGAATTAGAAAAAGTATAACAATAATAATAATTGGCATTGGTTTGGTGTGATATGAGCTAACCGATCGTTAGATTTAATCACCATTGATAGTGCAGTTTATTGTAATGCTTTTTTCCTCAGTTGATCAGAACAAAAGTGGCAGTTGTTACTTGTTCAGATGACATTCTCTTATTTGGGTCATACTTTCAAGATGTAGAATCTATGAATACAAAGCGCAGTATCCACACCGGTGTGGTGACTGACAGCCACACATTAGATTCACCCACGTTGGAGCCGTGCCAGTGCACAACCCACACAAGGAAAATAATTCTGCAAATAGCTGCAATTGCAGGTTTTCAAACAGAGATGGCGACAAAGAGGCAAAACTTACGGACTGCAGCTTTAAAGGTGATTCACTTCATTTACTGCATTAAAAGCTGTGCTAACTGTGTAATGTTTTGCTTATTTTGGACATGAAAAAAATAGTGTGAAGTTTCTTTTGCTATTTTTTTTATCAGCCTAGATAAATTTACAGCAACAGACCAAATTTCCAATAATCACACCACCAATACTTTCTAGTCATGTTCTCTTAATGTTCAACTTAGTGTTTATTACTTTTGAATTCTCTGTGTTTATTTATTCAGAGTATATCTGTGTAATTGTTTTATCTTCTCTTGCTAGGTTATTAAATATGTTGTTGTGGCTATAGCCATCATTATTATTCAACATTAGCGATGAAATGCTGTTTCCTGTTGAGCAGGTATAAATGGGTAATGTACACATCTGCTTGGTCTGATATCTTTTTTCTGAACACCCTTAACTAAATATCTTTTAATAGTTTTACAACTGAATCCATAATGATTGGTGTACTTTGATTGCAACTTAATTTTGAAATTTTTAGTTGATACTGTTAAACAAGTTTTTTGGTCTTTGTACCATTTCAATTCAAATAAAGTTTGAATGTATTTGTCAAATGAGTGTATTGTGTGTAACTCATTGTCAGATAGCCATTGTACAGTTAATTATTCCAGACAGATATTTAAAAATTCTAAACATTTATTTAAATTTCTGAGGTACACACAAAAAAAGAGTACATTTTGTATCAAAAAAAAAAAAAAAAAGGTCAATTACTATCTGCTCAATTTCGCCTGTGTTCTCTTTCACAACTGTGATCTCTGTGTTTGGCAAACCCTTTGTCATTTCCTCTGTCTCTCTCCCGGTGTCTCTCTCGTTCCCTGACTCTATCACGTTCCCTTTCTCTCTCACGCTCTCTGTCTCTGTCTCGTTCTCTTTCCCCATTTCTCTCTCTATCAACACCTCTTACTCTGTCTCCCTCCCTGTCTCGCTGTCGTGTGTCTTCATGTCGTTTATCCTCTCTGTTCTTGTCTTCTTCTCTATACCTTTCCCTCTCACCTTCATACCTATCTCTGAATCTGTCCACCTCATCTGCTGTGTCTTGTGGATTCCTGAAGTCTTGTCCCGATCTATCCCTTCTGCTTCCTGCCGGTCCTTTCGTGGCATACTTCTCATATGTCGTGTCCTCCTTCTCCTTCTTCACTCTGACAGGAGAAGACATTGACGTCTCAGTCCGTGCCCGTTTCTCTTCCTTTAGTGCCTTTTTCTTCTCTTTCTTCTCCTTTTTCTTTTTTTTCTTCTCCTTTTTATCTGACGTATAACAACATAATAAATGAGTCAAATAACAAATACAGTTTTTTTTAAATAAAAAGATAAATGTCTTGAAATAATCTTATCAAATGTAGTTACATTTACTGAACAGATATAACCTCTTCTCACCTTTTTTGGGCTTTTTCACAGGTACAGCATACTCTTTCTCAGATTCTGACTCAGAGGAGGATGGTGGGGGGACTTTGGGAGCACATCCCTCTTCTCGCAAATGTTTAGTGACATCATCAATGTCATCGGTGTCCTTTGGTGGTCGATAATTTGCTACATGGTCCACACGTATGGTTCGGCCCTTAATCTTTAAAGCAAAAAAAAAAAAAAATATAAATAACAATATTTATTTATATA